TGGTATTGTTTTTATGATTTTGTTGCTGGTGAGTTCATTATTGGTGTATAATATCCTTTGCTAATTTTTAGCTGAGTGTTTTTGTTAGCAAATTATGAGTTCTTTCTATATTCTAGAAGCAAGGCCTTATTGAATATATGAATTATAAACATTTTTTCTTTTTCTGTATCTCTTCTCTTTCTTCAGTGTGTGATTTTCATCCATTTCTTTTAGTGTATGTTTGTGATACACAGTAATTGCATTCATCTTGGGAAATCGGAATGTATACATATTATCTCTTCATCACCCCTCTTTTCCCCTTTCCCCTCTCCTGTCTCTTTTAGATCGCCTGCCCAACTCCAGAGAGTCTGTTTCTACCTTTCTTATCATCTGACTTTGTTCTTTATTCTTTGAGTTTTGGTCTCTTGTATTAGAAAAATACTGTGATATTTAACCTTATGGGTCTGGTTTATGTAATTATGTCCTATGAAGCACAAAAGATTGTTTTTAACTTCAGTTTAATCCACTTTATCTGTTTCTTAATGTTTAGTATCATATCTAAGTAGACATAAACTATCTTAATTCATTCAATTTTGTTCCTCTATTTTCCTTTAAAATTCTTAGTTCAAATATTTATGTCTGATACCCACTTTGAGTTTTTTTTATGTGGTGCCATTTAGAAATCTAAAATCTTTCTCTTACATACAGGTGGCCAGTTTTCTCAGAATGTAGCCATAATTATCAAAAATCAGTTTGTCATTGATGTAAAGATGTTTGGACTTACAATTTTATTTTATATATTTATTCTTAAGGCAATAGCATGTTGTATTTTATTACACTTGTATAATAATTTTTGAAATATATGAGACATTCAAATTTGTTAAAGAATATTTTTGGGTATTTCAGGATCTTTTAAAATCCATATGATGTTGAAATTTAAATTGCCAGTTTCTTTTAAAAATGCCAATTGAGATGTGATAGGAATTGTGTGAATTTGCAAATCTGGAAAATACTGCCATTTTCATAATATTAAATCTTATGATCCATAAATGTTGAATACCTTACCATTTATTTATATGTGCTTCAGATTCTTTTATAGATATTTACGGTTTTCACTGCATAAGTATTACATTTCTTTTTTCAGTTTATTTATAGGTACTTTAATCTATTTGAGGCCATCTAAATGAAATTGAATTTTTAATTTCATTTCTGAATGGGTCATGACTAGTGCATATAAACTCAGTTGTTGTGTATTGACTTTACATGCTACAAACTTGCTGAACTCATTTATTTATTTTCATAGTTTGTAGTGGATTTGGGGGGATAGAAGATCATCCCACTGGTGAATAGAGGTCATTTTAGTTTTTTCTTTTGAATCAGGATTCATTTTATTTGTTTTTCTTACCTACTTGCCCTAGCTAGAACACCAAGTACAATGTTAAATAAAAGTGGCAAAAGAGGATATTTTGCCCTGTTCCTCATCTGAAAGAAAGGTACTTAATCTTTCAACACTCAGTACGATGCTCGCTGTAGGATTTTCATGTGCTATCTTTACATCATTGAGGAAGTTCAATTTTATCCCAGTATGTAACATTTATTTTATCAGGAAAGTGTGTTGTGTTTTGTCAAATACTTTGTAGCTTTTTAAATGATAATAGTATTTTGACCCATATTCTTTTAAGATGGCTCATTACCTTGAGGATATTTAGATATTAAAAGTGGGATAAATCAGTTATAAGTACTGTATTATCTTTTCTGTACATCGTTGGAATTACTTTGATAGTATTTTATTGAGGAGTTTTAGTATATGTTCTTAAGAGACATTGCACTGTAGGTTTTTTCCATTGAAATGCTTTTGGTTCTGACTTCCGAGTAAAACCGTTGTCACAGAATCAATTGGAACATCGTCTCACCTCTTCAGTTTTTTGAATAATTTGTGAAGAATGATTGTTAGTTCTTTTTAAACGTTTGGTAGAATTTACCATTGAATTCATTTCATTGTGCGATTTCCTTTTTCAGAAATCTTTTGATTTTAATTAAATTTCTTTACTTGCCATAAAGGTATGTTTTTCTCTTTCTTCCTGGGTCTGTTTCAGTCTTTTGTCCTTTCTAAAACTTTCCCTAGGTAATCTAATATACTAGTCCCCTTTCAGGTGTTAGGACAAAATGCCTGACATTCACACTATGCATTATTTTTAAAACACATAAATAGATAGTGAAATATACAGTTATACTCTTTCATTTACTTATGTAGATAATTACATTTTTGTGCAGTATTTATTTCTTTGTCTGAATTTCAATTGTCCTTTTCTTGTTTCCTAAAATACTGCCCTTAGTCTTGTTCTAATATTTTACTAGTGATTCATTCTATGTATGTTTATCAAGAAATATCTTATTTCACACTTCAACGTTGACAGAGTTTTGCATTGTAGAATTATTTTTTGACAGTGTGTTTTTTTTCATTTGGTACAATATTTGAATATGTCCTTCCCATAGGTTTCTAGACTGCAGCGTTGCTGATGAGAAGTTAGGTATTCACCTTTTCAGGATCTCTTGTAAGTGATGAGATGCATTTTTGTTGATGTTTTCAAGATTCATTCTTTCTCATTGGTTTTTGGTGCTTTGACTTTGATATGTCTGGGTGTAATCTATCTGCTTTAAATTCAGCTTAAGGGTGAGCTCCTTCGGCATAAAGATTTATGTTTTTCATCAAGTTTCTGAACTTACCAGTCTTTATTTCTTCGAATATTCTTCCTACTTGTTTCTTTCTTCTCCTTTGAAGACTCCTATCATTCATGTGGTTCTATACTTAATGATCTCCCGAAAGTTTCTTAGCCTCTCTTTCGTTCATTTTTGTTTCTCTTTCTCAATCTGGGTAATCAGATTGTCTTGCCTTCCAGTTTAGTGATTATTTCTTATGTTAGTTCAGGTCTGCTATTGAGTCCTTTTAGTGAACTTTTAAATTTCATTTACTAAACTTTTCAGAAAATTTAGTTGTCTTTTTAATAATTTCTGTAGTTTTTCAATATTGCTATTTTATGACTCACTGTTCTCACACTTCCTTCAATTCTTTATACGTTTTTTCCTTTAGTTCAGTAAGTATATTTATAATAGTTGTTTCAGTATCCTGGTCTAGTATGTTCAACATTTCAATTTCTTAGACATATTTTCTATTATGTGCTTTTCCTGTGGATTGGCCATACTTTTCTGTTTATTTGGTTGCATCATAATTACCTCTAGAAAGGTGGGGATTTTAAATGACATAATTTTTAATGTCTGTAAATCATATCTCCCCAAGTTGTAGTGTTGCTTTTTTAGTAGCTTTTTTTTATTTAGTGATATGTGAGGCTAACCCTGGTTGTATTCTTCATTGTGTATAGTCAATAAAGTCCCTACTCAGCTAATTAAGTGTTCAGGTAATGATTGCAAAGAGGCTTCCTTAAATTATTTGAAGCAATAATATCATAGCCTATGTCAAGAGCCTCTGTCTAAGTCTGTCCAGGGATATTGTCAATGTTTTGGCAGATAGTATACACCTTTTTTTTAATGTACAACTCTTTCTAGCTTTCAATTCTTTCTTGTAAAGAGTCTCACAGGCAGCCAGAAGTGAGAGATTAGATCTTTCTCAAGTAGTATGTCCATAGTCTTACAGATATCTCTGCCAATCTAGATTCTCAGGAATACATCAGTGTTTTTGAAATACCATATAAAGGCCATATAATCAAGTGTTTTCTGATTTATGTAATCATTCATTTTCTATTAGCCTCTTTTTAACTTTAAATGATAATGTCACTTCACATTGCTATGGTATTAAAAAATTCATACAGAGTGAGCTCCAGATCCCAAAAAACAATACTACCCTTTATAACGGACTTTCCAGCCAACTAACAGAACAAATAGGTACAGTTCTCTGGAGATGGGGCTTTTAGATATTTTCAAAGTATTCCTCTCCCTCCATTGGTTGCTAAGCTAATGATTTCTCACAGCTCATATAGTTGCAGTGCTGTTTTGTTTGTTTTGTTTTGTTTTGTTATAGAAAAACATCACGAAACTTATTTTAGGAGAATGGGATTACAGCAGGTGAAAATGCCATTGTGCTTCTCTTCTTTCAGAGAGACTCAGTAACTTTAAAAACTTACTGAGATGGTACCTTTTTAGATTATTTTGAAATACTTGGTAAAGTTGATTTTTTGGCAGTTTTTACCAGAGTTTTCTATCATTTATGGAACAGTACATTTTTGGAGATCTTTAATATACCATTTTTGAAATCTTTTCATACTGTATTCTTAATTTCTCTTAAGTAAATTTCCAATGATAAATACCTTAAATATTTGTTAGTGCTGAATGTTCACAAGGTATATTCGTATCACCATGATGAAGTAGTATTCCTTGAAATGAAAATAAATTATTTTGCGGACTTTCTTTTATGTCTCCTAAAAATAGAATATTGATTATTTTTCTCTGCTTTTTATAGACTATGGTATACTCATTTATTCCACATCAAATTGGAACATTTAAAGTGAAACAGGTGATAGAGATTATTGGTCCAGTGGCAGCTAAAAATTTGCGGTCTATGTTGATGAAACCATTTTATCATATAAATTTATATTTCAAAAGCATCTGTAAACCTTTCACTAAGAAAGTTGTGATGAAAACTAATCCTGGTATGCTAATATATGACTTTTACTGCATATATAATATATCTATATTTTTAGAACATATATATATTCTAATTCAGTTTTTTTTAGCTATTAGCATGAGTTAAAGTCATCTAGAAAGCCTTTCCAAGTCTATATTTTTGCAAATTATTAAGCTGTAATTATTTAGCAGGTCTATACTGGGGCTCAAAGATTTGTGTTTTTACCATTTTCCTAATGGATACACTTAACAATTCTGAGGACCGCACTTTTGCTTTAGGTACCTGTACAACTCTTGAAATCATTTTATAGCTTTTTATTTCATTATTTCTACTCTTTTGCTCTAGTCTTTATTATAAATTAGTTTTGATCATTCCACAGATTTTCTTATTGCTGGTATTTTATCCAGTTTTCTTCAATCTTTTATATATTGAACCATGATAAATAACTCATACACAACTTTTGCAACCTATAGGAATTTCAGTTTTATATAGATCATCCAAAATCTTAGCAATGATCATGTTTTATTTTTATTTATTGTATTATTTATTCTAGTATTAATTGCTAGATAGCTTTACCAGTTCCACATACTAGTTTATTTTTTCTTAGTGTGTTTGTTTTTGGCTTAACATTTAAAATAAAACCAATTATCTTGTGTATTGATTAATTAATGGCTATCTTTTTGAAAGCTGGAATTCAAAGTATCCTATGTAATCTTTGTATTTTATTCTACAAAAGGTATATCCCCTTTGATCAGTAACCCCAC